CGCTGGGCACCCGACGGCCCTGATGCGGACCCCCGCTTCTCCGCTGCGGACCCCCGCTTCTCCTCCGGAGACCCCCCCGGTTCCCCTTTGCAGACCCTCCGTTTCCCCAGCAAGAGCCCCCGGCGCTCCCGTTGCGTACCCACAGCCGCCCTGCCGCAGACCCCTCCGGTTCCCCGCCGGACACCCCGGTACCCTTAGTGCAGACCTCCAGTTCCTCGCCAGACCTGCCCAATGTCCCCGTCTCAGACCCCAGTTCCCTGACAGATCCCCTGGATCCCTGCCGGGGCCGAGCCAACGACAGGCTGGGCAGCCGAGGGGGGGAAGGGGAGACACCCCCCCAGCCCAGCTGGGTGCTGGGTGGGGGATGAGGAGCAGCCTCTGCCAGGGCAGAGCCCCTAGTGAAACTCTCCAGGGCTTCTCCGGGGCACTGAACCAAGGCAGCTGCCCCGGTGCAGCAGGAGGATGTCCTTGTCCATGCAAGGTGGCAGCTGGAGCTTAGAGGGACAAGAGGAAAAATAACCCCCAGTGAGAGGGTGACCCGACTCAGCCTCCCCTGCGAGCTCCCCCAAAGAACTTTCCCGTATCACTTTAGCATCTTCGCTGAGTCCGGCACAGTGTGCTGGAGCAGTGGGAAGGGAAGGGATGGTGATATGGTGCTCAGATGAGTTCATTCCCTGCCACAGCCAGGACAGTGGTTTCTTCCCCACACCAGGTAGATGTCAGCGCTCTTCTGCTCCGCTTTATTTTGTAGGTGCAGCTGCTGTGTAGCAGCTGTCGGGCTGGGCTCTTTGGAAAGCTGGGGCTCCCCTTCCCCAGAGTCCTGCGGTCTCTAATCTAAGCACAAAGGTGTCTTAGAGGGACAGAGTGGTGAGCCCCCAAAAGCCACGGAGTAACTGTGGTCTCTCGCTCTCTTTCTCTCTCTTCTCCCCCAAGGAACTGGCCAAGTACTTTTTGGCAGAACTGCTCTCAGAGCCAAGCCAGACAGAAAATGAAGCCCTGGAGTCTGAGGACTTGTCCCGAGGGGCTGAGCAGGATGAAGTGAGACTGGAGCTGGAGCGCTCGGCTAACTCAAACCCCGCTCTGGCACCCCGGGAACGCAAAGCAGGCTGCAAGAACTTCTTCTGGAAAACTTTCACATCCTGTTAGCTTTTGAAACCCACCTCCCCTCCCCATCCATCCCTGCCTTCTTCCTAGCCCCCTGCCCTGAGCAGAACCTTCACCACAAGAGGCGAAGACTGTAAATATACAATCCACGGTTATGGTGAAATTAAACAAACAAGGAAATTTTGAGTTTGATTTCCAGTTGTTTTAATAAAACTTTCTGTTCCAATTGTACACAATTTGCTTGAGTTGTGATTTCTGACTAGTTCTTTAATGACATGCACTCTGCAACTCTTTCAGATGTACTATTTTTAATTCTTTGTTGCAATAAAATTTATGTTTCAAACAGTGATGCTGAGACTTGGTGGTCAATGAGAAAACCTAAGTCACGTCTCAGGTTGCTTGACTTAGAAATGCCGCCCATCTCAGGGCAGCAGCAGCAAACAGCATCGACACTCACACATAAGCACGTACAGACAAGTATCTCTTAGAGTGGGTTTTTTTGCTGTGGTCTTTCTAAGGGACCTAGAGACACAGTGGTTTTTTAGATATCAAATCCATGTAATTGTGGCTGAGTCAAATCCACAGCGCTGGCACTTCAGTCGGTCTAGAGGGTTTACACCCATCACCAGAGGCATCACTATAAATCACAGCCATGTATTCCAAGTGATGGGGATCATAAAAGTGGTTCACAGTACAAGTTTACCCCACACATACCTCATTCCTTTCTCAGCCACAAACGCTAAAAGGATTTCTTACCTGGCATATTTTACTCCTTGCAACATCACTGACAAACACTGCTTCTGGGATTCCCTCAGAAAGTTTTCCTTTGTTCTGCTGTGCAGGGGAAGGTTTTGCATCCCTGTAAAGCTGAGATGTTAACCCCGTGCCATCAGCCCCTCTCCATCTAATAAGCTGGTTACAGCAGTTTTTCTACCCACTACATATCATCATTAAAGGCAATATTAGAAGGTTCACTAGAGTCAGAGATAGCATCAGGAAAAAGACATGCTCCTCTCAATGGAAGAGAAATTCTTCGTGCTTTTGCAGAGTCTCTTCCCTTTCTGGCCATGCTGGTTTGTGACATGCAATCGTGGGTGAGTTGAAGCCATAGAGCATGCATCCTGCACAGCAGACAGGTATCAGTTTGATGAGAAATTCATCATACAGGATTAAAGGTAACAAACATTTTGTAGCCATCAGATGTGAAAGAAAGGTGAAAACCAGGGGATCTTAGAGATGTTCATGGGTGGAGGGCTGAGCATGACCCTGGCCGAGGTGGATTCCCCAGCTGAGGGCTTGTTAAGCTGCCTCTGGTCTGTGCTGAGCGTAGCTCTCTGTGGGGCATCGTTCTTGATGGCTTGTGGGCCGTTGCCTTTATTCTTGGTCTGCACCTCCTCTCCCTGTGGGCAGGGGTTTGTTGTTAGATTCGGGTTGGGGGCGGGTGAATCCCTTGTCATTGGGAACTATAGCAGTGCCAATATGAAATCCCAGCTCTGCCACGCTCACTCACCGCAGGGCTCGGCTGGGCTGCTCCACAGCCAACTGGCAACAGGCGAGGGCAGCCAGGGGGACGTAGCCGGGGTGGGGAGCTGCTGGCATCAGCCCCTCCGAGCCCAGAGGCAGGACTGGATGCTGCCTTCCCTGCCTGCAGCAGGGCAGCCGTGGCTGCTGCCTGTGCTCCAAGCGGGGTTAGGGGCTGCCTGCTCCCTGCCTGGCTGCTGCCCGCCAAGCTGGATCCTGCACCTGCTGGAGAAGCCTTGCTGTGACATGATCCTGCACGTCCCCAGCTCCTGGGAGCATCCTCTCCTCCTGCCTTGTAAAAGGGACAGGTTTTGTGGTGTGACAAAACCAGCCTCCACTGTCCCACACGCGGTGCGGTTAAGGGTTTCGCCTTCTTCACCGGAGCTGGGTGTGTTGCAGACTGGGCAGGGACTGGTGATCCTCCTGGTGCTTTTGGGGGGACAGGGAGAGAGCCCTGGCACACATGGTACCCTTTTTTCAGCCCCTGGATTTCTGTGGCTGGTACAGCTGTGGAGGGTGCAGGATTAACTCACCCTTGGGAGAGGGGGAGGGCTGGCATTGTCAGGGGGGAAGCCTTCAAGAAGACATTTGAGAAGCACAGGTAATGTAGATCGTTTCTCAGCCCTAAAAGCAGACAGGGTGAGAATAGGACCCTGTTTGAAAGTATGGAGACAGACTCTCTGAGGAGAGAGCAACGGTCCTAGCTCATGTCTGATTCCTTTGCTGCTGTGCATCATCAAGGGAGCAGATTTTAGGGGATTCGGTAAAGCAGAGACCTCCCCATCCCTGGCTGCTCCCTCTTGTCTTGACTGAGGTTCCACTTAGTCTTCAAAAAGCAGCTAATTCTTAAATGCTGAGACAGCCTCAAGACAGCAGCTACAGGAACAGAAAGGGGGTGGAGGTGCCAGGGGCTTGAATATTCTTATGCACTGAGTCCATCTTTCATGGGATATAAATAGACCACTACTCGCCTGAGGTTTTTCCTCTTGTTCACTATGCTCAGCCAGTGCTTCTGAAAGGAGTTTAATCCTGCCAATTGCTGGAGTGAAACTCATCACAAAGAGGGATGTGGATGATCCTCAAGCACAAGCAGGAATTAAAGACAGAGTGATTCACACGCTACGCCAGCCTGTTTCAGCAATACAGCTGGCGTCACGTCACGGCAGCTTCTGCAAAGCTTAATGAAGATATACTGGTGGAGGCATGTGAGAATGTCCTCAGTTTAGAGGCAGAAAGACAAACCTGCTCCTTCTGTCAACTCAAGAGCTCCTGGAGTTTGGGGAGACGGCTCCCAGGGTGTTAAATTCGGTAACGCCACATGTAATTGCACTGCGGCAGTGCCAGCAATCCCAGGTGCTGGAGCCGTACAATGCAAGAGATGGTCTTGCCCTGCTAAGCTAAAAAGACTAGAAAGACAAAGAAAGATTTATTGCTTCTCTTTGACAGGGGGGAATTATGGGGTAAAGAGATTAAATGGCTATATTTAAGCCCTGGCCACACAGCCATGAAACAGCGTCCTAGGCTAAGAAGACTCTTGCTGGGCAAAGCTGAACCTGGGATGAGCACGTCGGTACGGTCAGCTTCCATGGGCCAGACCTGCTGAAGGAGGGAGCAGTTTTTGAGATAGGTTTTCAAGTGATGTTCTCTGCAGCTCAGAGCCAAGGCTCCATGGAGGGGCAGCCTCAGCACGGGCCTGAGGGAGGTTATGGGCTGTGATGATCCACACACGGCTGATTCATCTCCCCTCTTGCACTCAGTGTCACGGGCAGACCCAGAGCAATCCCCATTCCAGCAGATACCTACCTTCAACCTGGTGATTCATCTGAGGCAGTGCAGGGAAATGTCCATGAGGAACCACATAAAAGGGCTTGAAACTGCTGTCTGAAGAGTTGCTTTTAATGAAAACCAGAAAAGATTGTATAAGGCCTGGAAACGCACAACCCCTGATGGGAAGTCAGTGATGAGCTTCTCAGCATCCCCAGCAGCAAACTCTCCCACTAATGATGCCGGGGGGGGTCATTCGCTCTAGCAAGCAGGCCAGGATTTTTTTTATGTGCAGCCCAAATTGGTAAAAAAGGCAAGTCTTCTTTGGCCCAGAAGGCTTGCTGGTGACGGGTAGTTTGAAGCGATCCTAGCTGTGGTGCAGAGGAAGTACTTGTGGCATCCAGATTTCATAGCCTGGGTCCACTCTGACACCAGTTTACTCCTTTTGGCTCTGCAGAAAAGACCAAGAGCCTGGACCCATGGGCACAACTACCCTTCACCCAGAACAGCCTGTAAGATGCTCTGCACTGCCTTTGCATTTACTTTGCCTCTGTGGCTCCTAGCAAGCATTATACCATCACTCTGATCCGCAGCTACTGGGAGCATCTCGGATTCCCAGACTGCTGCTCTCACCACTGGAATCTTCTTCCCTTTCATCCTGCCCAATCCCAGCACCTCCAGGGAGCACCGGAGCAACCCCCAGCCCCCATATGGGTCAGCACCAGGCATTTGGAAAGAAGCACTTGCTGCTGCAACTGAGTCCTAATTCTCTGAAAGCAAAGCAGCAGGATGTTTACTGACCAGGGTGAGAAAAGCTATACCTAGGCAATAAAAGTTATTATGATAAAGGAACAGGCTGTACTATCTGCTCTCTGAACACCTTCTGACTCTTTGACAGCTTCTCACCAGAATAATGCAATAAAACTCACTTACACTGAGCATTTTCTTCTCCTTTTTCTTTGTTTTATTAGGGAATTATTTGTTACTTTTTGTCAACACCTAATTGCACTTCTGAGAATAGTGGTTTGGCCAGATGCTGTGAGTAACTCAGAAGGCTTTTTGGATCCCAGTCTTAGGAGGCTTACCCCATAAACAACTTGTAGAACACATAAAAAGTTAACACGGTCACAAAAAAATGACCAAGTTCAGTTTTTCTCATACGTATAGTGCAAATGCCAGTTTGTGCCATGAACTAGTATTTCCAACATTATCTGACAAAGAAACCCACCCGGTCGTTCAATTAACAAAATTAATTTAATGAAGATTCCTGGTGTTTCCTAAGGAGACATTCTCTGAAAAAGCATAGACCAATGCACTCCAATCCAGACTTTGTTCATCACCTGGGCTGGCTGCTGGACCAGAGAGAGAGGGACTTGGTCCCGCACACAATGCCAGAGCATCCCTCCCGATGCTCTCCGTTGCCTGCCTCCCCTTCCCATGCAGCTGGCTCTTGCAGCCAGCAGCCTGCCGTGCTCCGTGGTACGGACGGAGGAAGCACTCGCTTCTGGCCTCCAGCCCTGGCAAGCATTCCCGGGAGGTTAGCCGAGACATGCTCCTGGGTCCTCCCTTGCTCGTCCCTCAACCCTCGTTAGGAGATTCTCCTGGGTGCAGAGCAGAAGTCAGTGAATCCCTCCCGGCCCGGCAATAAGCCCGGTGCTGCTGTGCCCCGAGGTAGAGCGTTTGCTCCCTTACACAGCTCTGTGTTCTGCCTTCAAGGAAAACCTCTCCTTTTGCTCAGGACTGAGGTTTAAGGAAGAAAAAGGATCCCCCTGGAAATTGGCTGTCACAATTGCAAGGCTCATTTGTAAATCTTTGCTGCCACCTCTTTTCTTCCCTATTTTACTTCTTGTGCTTGTCAGGGTTTGTGATTCTTCCCAGAGGCTCAAATACCATATTTCTTTCCCTGCATTTCCACTCCCCACACCAGCCTCTTCCCCAAAGGGTGCATTGCTGAGCACAAGCCCAGGAATGGGGTGCACTGCAGCCAGCAGAGAGAGCCAAAGAGCACAGATTGTCCTATTTATGGTCCGTATCTGTAAGAGCAGATGCTTAGGATGGGTGTCCTCCGTGCCAGGGGCTGTCCGAGCTCTGGTTCGACCTCACCACAGGGAGACGGGCTGAAGACAGGGGTCCTGCAAAGAGGGGCTTTCCATGGAGCAACACTTTCGGGGCCAGAGTTGTGTGAGGATGTAGGCAGTGCTGTTGCACTGACAAAGATTTTTCCCCCCAAACTAAGTGCCTGCTTTTCATTTCTAAACGGCATTTCTCATGTCAGAGTTGCCAATTTTTAATAGGTTAGAAGAAAGTTAAATAACATGAAAGTAAGTAAGTGAGCTGTTCTATCTAGGGTTAAATGCAGTGGGGTTTGTTCTAATGGCAACCTGTAAGAAATCACTTCCATGCAAATCTCCTTCCCCTCGTATTTTTTGTTCAGTATCCAAAACAACTCCTTATTCCCTCAGCTCTTCTGAAACTTCACAGTCTAAGCAGCAACAGCAGGGGCAGAGGGAGGAAGGGCTGTGTCCAGTTAAAGGCTCACAGGACCAGATGGCCTGTGGTGATGGAACTTTGTCACACTGTGTGGCAGTCACCATTTCCCAGGCAGAAGAGCTCCAGGCTGCAGGAGACTGCATCTCCCATGGCTTGAATAAACAGCCCGTGGAGGCAATGGGGGCTGGAGGTGATGTTACCTGTGCTGATGTCTTCTCCTCCCAGCTGCAAGAAGTGGTCCTGGACCTTGGAGTCTCAGATGCCCCTGTGGGAAGAGCTGTAGCTGCTTGTGGCAATGGGACACCAGCACACCATTGTGGCTCCCCGTGGGCTGTCCCCCCAGCACAGCTGGGGTCGCACCAACCTCACAATGGCTGATGCTCTCCGGGGCTGTTCCATGGGCTCCATGCACCCTGCCAGGAGGGGCTCGAAGCTGCTGCCCTAACATCTCCATCCCCTCGGCATGGCCTAGTGGCAGGGACACCCAGTAATACTCTCTTGGTCCTGGTTTAGAGACCTTGGAAGGAAACCTCACCATCCCTGGAAGGACAGAGGCCAACAGCAAACAGGAAAAATGGGCTCAAACAACATGTTTGAACCGGAGCTCTCAGCAGCAGAGTGTAGGGAAAAGGTGGCATCTGTTCTCCCTGAAACCTGCATACAGTATTTGGAAAGCAATGATTGGAAAGAGAGGATTTCCAGCATGGATATCCTTCAAAAGACTGTCGGTGAGTTGAAGAAAAGTGAGATACCATGCCAAGCCCTGGTGAGACTGCTGTCACAAGGACGCAAGGAAACAAAGCTCCAGGTGATGGAGAAGAAACTTCACACCATCACCTTGCTGGCCCAGAAAGGGCACTTCTCCAGAACATCTGCTCAAATCGTCCTGGAAAGTGTGGTGGAAATGGTGGGAGATGTGTTATGCAGCAACAATGCTCAAGGAGCCCTGACAGCCATAGCAGAGGCATGTTCATTGCCTTGGACTGCAAAGACCGCTATGTTGTTGGCCTTCTCACAGAATAACTCCAGGATCCATTCCAAGTTCTTGGACTGGCTGTCAAATGCAATTCTGGAGTTTGGCTTTGCAGGGATGGAGGCCAAGGAACTGGTCAATACCCTGAAGATCGCTCTTGCTGCTGTTCACTCAGGTGTGCAGAGATCAGCCATCACTTTGCTGGGGGTTATTTACCTGTACATGGGAGACTCACTGAAAGCACTGATTGAGAGTGAGGAGCTGCCCCTTCTTCCCCAGATACATGCTGAGCTGGAGAAGCTGCATGGACAGGTCCCACCAATTCCCAGTCGTGCCAATCCCAAGCCATGCCCAGGTGACAGGGCCCAGGAGGACCCAGGGGATCACCGAAGGACTGAAGCCATAGACATTGGTGACAGGATCACACCAGAGCTGGTGTCAAAGCTGCAGGAGAAGAACTGGACCATTCAGAGGGAGGGCCTGGAAGAGGTTGCAGGCATCATTCAGGATGCCAGATTCATCCAGCCAAACATAGGAGAGCTCCCAAGAGCCCTGAGGGCTTGTCTCTACAACTCGAACCCCACCCTGGTACAGATGGCCCTGAGGGTCCTCCAGCAACTGTCCGCAGCCATGGGTTCAAACGTCAAACAGCACATGAAGGACTTGGGCTTTCCCCTCATTGCTCTGTTTAGGGAAAGCAAAAGCAGCATGAGAGCTGCTGCCCTGGCTGCTGTGAATGCCTGGGCTGCACAGATCAACGTATTGGAGTGGCTGGATGGGCAGGACATTTCAGAAGATCTAGGTGAAGAAATGCCTTTACAGAAGCAAGAGCTGGTGCAGTGGCTGGCTGAACAGCTGCCAACCCTCAAGTCAGCTCCCTCGGACCTGCTTCGGTGTGTGCCTCACCTCTACTCTTCCCTGCAGGACAGCAACAGGGATGTGCAGACAGCCTCACAGGCAGCCCTGCCTTTCTTCATAATGCACCTTGGCTTTGAGAAGATGACTGAAGCCACCAGTGCGCTGAAGGCAGCTGCAAAGGACCACGTACTTGCGATACTAGAGAATGTCAATGACAGTAAGTCAGCCCAGTCCACTGCTTCTGCTAAGTCACTTCCCAGACACCCTAGACTCACCACCATGACCGCTTTCCCCTCTGTTCTAACCACACTACCTGCAGCAACAGCCTTCTCTTCACAAGCGTCAGCTAAAGAGCCAGCACCCAAAACCAGTGGAGAGGAGAAGCAGGGTCCCAAGGAGCCCAGGTCAGGAGAAGCAGTCCTGAAACACACAGGTGCAGCCAAGGGAAATGCACAAATGAATTCCACCCTGAAGGATGGGGTCAGCAAACTGGGACCTATCTTCATCATTGTCCCCAAGGGGAAAGAGCAGAGAATGAGGGATGAGAAAGGCAGAAAAATGCTACAGTGGAACTTCACTGCTCCCAGCGACAGGTATGTCAAGCAGCTGAAAGCTCAGATGAGCAGTTGTGTGTCCAGCAGCTTCCAGGTGGAAATGTTCCACTCCAGCTTCCCGCACCACATCAAAGCCTTGGCCATCATGGCCAGGCACTTAGAGACAGAGAAGGAAGGAGTTATCAGCTGCCTGGACCTGATCCTGAAATGGCTCACCCTGCGTTTCTTTGACACCAACACATGGGTGCTTATCAAGAGCCTAGATTACCTCAATCTGCTGCTAACCTTGCTGATCCAAGAAAGGTACCAGCTGATGGACGATGAGGCCTTTTCCTTCCTCCCATACCTGATCCTGAAGATGGGGGAGCCAAGGCAAACTGTTATTAAATTGGTGCATGCTGTCCTGAAGAGGATGTGCCTGGTGTATCCAGCTAAGAAGGTGTTTGGCTTTCTCATGGAAGGCATCAAGTCCAATAACACTAAGCAGCAGGAAGGCTGCCTGGTGGAGATGGGTTATCTCCTTGAAACGTATGGCCTGGATGTATGTTACCCAAACTCTAGCAAAGCCTTGAAGAGGATAGCTGCCTTCCTTGGAGACCAAGACAGTGCTGTTCATAGTGCTGCTCTAAACGTAATGGTCACAGCTTGCAAAACTCATGGGGAAGCCCTATTCAAAATGGTTAGGGATCTTCCTGAAGAACGTATGAGAAAGCTGGGACAAATTGCAAAACAGGAACCTGGCAGGTCAAGTGTTTCTTCAGCTAAGTGTTTCAGTGAGAAACCTCAGCATGATTCAAACACAAGATCTGAAGTCACCCATCAGTATGCAGGAGATGCACCTTCAAAGCTAGAGCCCACCTGCTCTCAAGGAGGGAATTCCAATATGGTGGATGTGGCTCCCCAGACACTGCCTCCACGTGTAGGTGAGCAAGCAAGCAGGCTGGTCTCCAGAAAATATAATCGCTTTAGACTGAAGCATATTATTCGGCTAGAAACGATCCCTGAATTCCAAACCCTGCCTATCTCCTCAGACACTGATGACACATGTCATAACATGACCTTCACCATTAATTCCCTTATTTGTCGCATTAACAGTGGTGATACTGACACCAGCATCCAGGCAATGAAAGAAATTGAGGAGATCCTGAGACAGAAGAACAAAATAGAAGCCATGTCTGGGCACATTAATGAATTCCTTGTAGCCAGCTTTCAATCACTCAAGTTTATCCACCAGCAAAAGGAAGCAGATAAGAAATGGGGGAAGGAACAAATCATTCTGCAATGTAACTGTGTCATCCAGGCCTGTAACTGTGTCTTCCAGGAGACGAAACTGTCTCAGGAGGTCTCAGTGGAAGTGCTTAAGGATGTAATGAACAATCTCTTTACCTTAATGCTAGACTTCCTGGACGGAGACGTAGAGGAAGATCGGAAGCTTGTACAGTCCATTAATGTCCTCATGAAGAGGGTATTGGAAAAATCTGACCAGACGAGGATTTTTTGTGCCTTGCTGAAGCTGCTCCAAGGCAGCCTGACTGCTGAGGGCAGCCCAGATAAGTTTTCTGACCTGCTGGTCAAGTGCCTGTGGAGGACCACACGGCTTCTCCCAGGCACCATCAGCACCATCAACCTGGATGAAATCCTGCTGGATGTCCACATGCTCATGAAGGCTCTCTCAAAGGAAAAACTGAGGCAGTACACAAACAAACTTCTGCTGTGGACCCTGAAAACTCTGCTGCACAACTTGTGCAAGCTGAAAGGAGTGAGGGTCCTGAACCACCTCACCCTGATTGAGGACACAGCTGGCTCCGAGGTGGAAGCTTACCTCCGAAAGACAGTCAGTCCTACTGCCAAGCTGGGGGCAAACGAAACAGCTGTAGGAGCAGGGGAGGAGGTCCCCTGGGCAGCTTGTGGGGTTGCAAAGGACAAAGCAGGTAATCTTTTAGAGAGCATCTTCTAAAAAATTTGCTTCAAGAAGAGTTTGAGAGAGGGTCTAGAGGTGTTATATGAATGTAAGAAAAAATGGCCAGAGGGAAAGTTGGAGTCTTTCCTGGACAACCTCTCCCTCTTCTTGCAGAGCTAGGTGAAGCAAAGCCTGGCCATCATCTGGACAGAACAGGACATGAGAGAGCATCTTCCTCCTTCTCCCTTGGGGATGTACCCTGAGGTGGAAGCATCTCCCCTTAGATCAATGGGGGTCCCAGGAGGGACCCTAAAGGGGAAGGAGATGATGCCAACCTGCCACCTGGAAAACCTGCCATTCGCCTGCAGCAGCACCACAGCCTTGAGAGCAAGACAGCCCACGTCAGGCTCCCTGCCAGCCAGCTCCCCTCGAAGGATGCCAATGTCATGCTTCTCCCTCCTTTCCAGGGCTGCACAACGGTGATGTCCCTGGGAGCATGAAGAACCACCAGCAGAAATAGCACTGGGACTTCAGAACTAGCCAGCCCTCCTCCACACACACATCAACGGGCAGATGGCGTGAACCACAAACCAATAAAGAAGAACTCCAGCATGAATACCGCGTGAGTCATCTTTGCACTAGCACCCCAGGGCTGCAGCCCCCAGGAGCTGGTCCCAGTTTCTAATGATGTCTCTCTTGCTGTTGTTCAGAAGAGCAAAGGGTGAGGCAGGTAGTGTTGAGGCACAGGCACTCAGCTGGGGAGCATTAAAAGCATGTGTGTAGCTAGGGAGTGTCACTCCAGCTCGGGCTGGGCTCCTTGAGTGAGCATGCGGAGGCTGATCCCTTCTCCAAGGGGTGCAGGTAAATAGAAAGAAGAGCAAATTGCTGCTCTTTCCAAAGCCAAAGAGGAGGTAGGTCTTGAGACCAGCAGATGTGGAACCCAGGCAAAGGGAAGAGGGTCTCCCAGGTTCCCTGTGTGCTGCAGGGAACAGCTATAGGGTTTGCTTTGTTTCCAGAGCTTAAAGTCTTCATGTTTCCATGTCACAGCACAACTTTTTAGCCTTTAAAAAAATAAGGTGGGTGAGACAGATACCTTGGGGCACAGCTGAACCCAGAGCACACAAATCTGGCCGGGGCACAGGGCAGAGAACCAGTTGGCGTGCTGACCCTGACTGGACAACCTCCACAGGGGTCCTGACATGGGATTTTCTAGCAGTCAACATGTTCATGGTTAGTAAAGTATCAGGCCAACAGTGCCCTGGTTCCCGGCTGGGAGCAACCTGAAGAGATCGGGGCTTTCAAACAGCATCTCTACCTTTCTGCACAATGGCCACCGGCTGCACAACGAGCCTACCAAAGGCAAAGGTTGCAATAGGAAATACATTAGGGAAAGCAATTTGTACAAGTTTCTGTTTTCTCTTAGGTAAAATCAATAAGACATAGACTTTCAAACCCACTTCCACTTGTCAAACTGAAACAGTTCAAGAAAGCAGACTTGCTATGGACAACTGCAGAACATCAATGCCTCATCCCAGCCCATCCCTTCCACCAGGGAGCACACTGCTGTTCTCATGTAAAACCACTTTGATTTGTCTTTAACACCCCTCTTGCCTGTAAGTTCCTGAAGGTAGGACTCCTCAGCTTTGTGTCGGGTATAACAGTAAGCACTTCAAGGATGCTCACTAAATTACAAGGCTTATTTACTAATAGACAATTCAGCCAATTACAAAATGCTATTAAGCGTTTGTACTCAGGCAGAGAGAGCTAGCTGCCTGGTGAACATGGCAAACCAATATTTTTAATTAAAATAAGAAAAAAGGAATATGCAGTCTGATCACTGGCCAACAAGAAAAATACACCCCAGAGGTCTCAAAGTGTAATTATCCTTTCTGAATGGCCAAAGTGACTTGTTTGCTGCAGAATATAATTCTCTCTAACGCCACTACGAAGTCATGGACACCTCCTCACATACCCCATTCATCCAGTGCTGTACCTGCCCAGGGGCTGCTCCAGTACCCATGAAATCAAGCTCTGGTACATCCATATCTAGTTTCTGCCTTACTTTCTGGGTGGGTAGCTAGAGGATTCACAATGAGAACATGGATGAAGCCTCTACAGTTTCTATTCTTTGATTCCTTCCTGCTCTGTCCTTGGGACACCCTCTCTTTTTGTGCTGAAGGACATAAGCTTTGAGGCTGGAGTGGAGCAGTGTAGCTTACATGCAATGCAGTTGGGTGCCATTTATGTGGCCATCCAAAAGTAAATTCATACCCCTGTTGAGCTGTGAGGTCAGGTGACTGGACATGCTGTTCCAGAAGGTTTCCTTCAATGCTGTGCTCCCTTTTTGCTGGTAGTCAGTGCCCCATGAGCAGCAGTTTTTACAGCTTCCTCACCACCGAGTCCTGGAAATGCTCTGTACAGATGCACAAACAACATTCTGGCACAGTTACCTGGGAGGGCTGTCCTTCTACTGCCCTGTCACTCAGTCCACACTGAAACTTGCCCAGTAATAGCATTCTCTTTGCAAAAGCCTCCCTGGCAATGTGCTATCACCAGGCTGTCCTCCTGACCCATGCTGCAGCTGCAGTGTTGCATCTGGCACATTGCTAGAGGAAAAGCCATTAACTAGCAGACAGCACTCATATGCTGAGGCCACACACTATCTTGTAGCCGGAGGACACAGGCAGACTCCTCTTCTATAATGCTGAAGGCCCGATCCATTCCTTAAGGGTTCCAGAGAATGTAGAAAATGGGGGAAAGTCAAGTGTTTGGAAGCCTTGCAGTATTTGCCACGCAAATACTTGCCTTGCAGCATTTGCCACAGACTATTCATTGTTATGCATCACGTTATCAGACTGCCTCAGTGCCCTTGTCAGCAGTCAGAAACCTCCTGTAGTGGGTGCAGCACAAAGTCAGAGCAAGTGACAGTCCCTGTCCTGCAGATATTACATGTGATAGGAGATAAGTGCATCAGCAGAGATGACCTGGAGTCCTACAGGAGCAAGCAGCCTCTTGAATATTCTCAGCACGTTCTCACATGTGCCCCTCAGCACAGCCCCCGAGCAGCAATCAGGAGCGCCCTGAACGTCAAGATGATCTACAAGTTATTCTTGCTTGCACCTCCTTGCCCCAGCAAAGAACAGCATGCAATGGGGTATCATGGTCCAGCCTGGGTCTAGGTGCTTATTCTGGATTTTACCCAACAGTCACATTCAGGTAGTGTTAGGAAAGAGAGTGAGGCTTAGAAATATGGTTTGCACTCAGATCTGGACAGTGGAGGCCTGTGCCCTGGAAGAGCTATTTCCAGCACATTGAACCCAGCCTGCCAGGAAATCAAGCCTTCTGCCAGGGAAACTTTACATTTTTAGAGAATCCCCCAGAGAGAGAGGAGCAGGTTCCTGCCTGCAAAGCAATGGTGAAGGAATGGGTCCTAACACACAGGATGAAACCTCGGGGTCCTGCGATGCTCCTGTCAGCACCGCATCCTGAGGTTTGCTGGATGGAAATTCAATTTTCCCCTATTCTGCCTCCCAGAGAGCCAGTCCTCCAGGCCGTTCATCCTCTCTCACAGCCCTAGGGAAGAGCAAAGAGCAAAAGAGCACCTGGGTCGGGAGGTGAAGAAAGAGAGCTGCAAAGAGCTCATAAGGGAGAGCTGACCTGATACCTTTTGCTCTTTCCTGGTTCAGCCCTCTTCCACTTGCTGGAATCATGACCAAACTGCATGCTCAGGAGATAGCAGGGTCAGGGAGATCAATGACTTATAAATAAATACAGTATAAACAAATCAATCAGAGGGATAAAAACATTTGACAGAGCTACACCAATTAAAAATATAATAATCCAGATAGCGGACATTTATTTTAAATGGTGCAATTACAGCTTTTAATCATCCAGGTTTAAATTAACAGCAGCAGCAAAGTGGCTGTGCAAACGTGTTTTCTGTAATGAACTGATATTAGAAAGCCAACTTGGTGATCTCTCCCTCTCTGAGGCTAATTCTCCCTCCTCTCGTTGTAAAATAACCTTTTGGTGTCGTTTTCTTGTAGAGTCTTGAAGATGAAGACACAATATTGGAGCTAAATTAAATCCCCTTCACATATTTCTCTTCTTTCAAGCTGTAAAAATTGCTGGTATCAGTCATTCAGTCTCTAGTGCTGACGCAACCACACTTGAGGAGAACATCTGGGGGCCCCAAGAGTCATTATAGGGAAAATAAAATCCTATATTACAATCAGTCAGCAATTAAAAGGCAGGATGCAGGAGGGCCAATCCTGCAAGATGCTGAGCAGGCTTGGTGGGGAAATGAAATGGTAGACTTGTGATTCTCTGAGGCTCTTTTCTTCCTCACTGGGTCAATTGAGAGGATGTTAGAAAATTTCAAAAACTGCTCCTGCCCAGCACAAATGGTCTTGGAAGTAGCTTGTGTTAATTCAGGTCAGTGCCGATCCAGAGGTCACAGGTTTAGTACCTACTTACTGCCAGCTAGCCCAGTCTGCGAAGCCGTGGGGCCGATCTTGCCTTGGCTCAGCAGGTCCCAGCCGGGTTTGGCATTTGAACAGATACTGTGTGGCTGAAGGCAATGCTCAGTTTGCCATGGGAAGCCCTTGTGGTTAGAGTGGGCTCAGGCACAGGCAAATGAGAGACATGAAAGCTCTCTGCACCTGGCATGGTTCTGACTTAGCAAAGTGATGGGTCTTATCTGCCCTGGGCAACTGTCTTGATCTTTCTCCCACATATGTACCTACACCTGCTCTGTAAAAGCATCTTTCCTACAGAAGAGCCCAGTGCCTACCAGCCAAGATGCTGACAAGCGCTCAGTGCAGTGATGGACGCCTCACAGACACATCGCAAGTAAAACTGCTGCAGGCAAAGCCTTCCAGACACGGCTGTCCTGAGGTGGGTTTGAACCAGCAGCCAAGGAGAGGCAATTGTCCACTGGCTGCAAAAGCTCTCTCCTCCCTTACAGCTCTGTCCTTTGCTCCATCCCCTTGTCATGGTCTGCACAGGGCGAGTCACAGCAGGGCAGAAACTGCCCCAAAAGTTCCTGAGCTCAAGACTCAGCTTCCAGCAATGCCCCCAACATGTCTGTCCCACAGCTCATGCTGGTGACAGTGCGGAGCTGGTCCTGCTCACATCATTGGGATGCTCCATGTCTCAGCTGGATTTGCCTAAAGGCTGCAAGGAAAGGGACAAGAAGAAAAAAAACATGGGGAAAAAAATCATTTTGGAGGTGTGGAAAGATTTCTGTGTGGGAAATGAACACCACATGGGGAGAATGTATGTGTGACTCTGTTTGCATGTGCATGCCTACACAAGTAGTTCTGCATACATAAGTCACTGCTCCTTCTGGAGCTGCTTACCCACTCCTGGTTTTTGGCTGTTGTCACCAAACACAATTACCTACCTGCATCCATAGTCCTGAGCACACTATTAAAATCAGCAGCCCTTTGGAAAGAGAATTTCATCTCTCTAATTAGCACCAAACCCTCCTCTCTTTCCT